CCATCTATTCTGGATTTTTTCCCAAGTAGATCTGCACTAGAATTAGCTTCCTGCTACTTCCTTGGTTCTTTTTTTTTTTTTTTTTTTTTCCTTGGGGTTCTTCATCGAAAAGGGCAGGCCTTGGTTGATGTGTCCTGGCCAGTAGTGGTTTAAAGTTTTGAAATTCCAAAAATTCATGGAAAAGGGTAGGCCTTGGTTAATGTCAGGGCCAGTAGTGGTTTTATAGTTTTGGATCCGAACTACAACCAGTAACCCGGATTCAAATTCTAAAATTTGTCGTTTGCGCCGGGGAACGCTTGCCGAACCTCGGGAAATGATGGCCGATGTGACAAAAAATTGCAGCCGGGAATGTGAATGGTCATGATCACAGTTAGATGCTCCATGCTGGCAGCTGCAGCCATTTTTCACAACTGACCCAGGCCACTACAGCACAGCCTGCAGCCCCCTTGTGCGCTGGCATATAATGGTGGGGCGAGCACGGGCCGTGATGGCTTAAACCACGAGTATTTCCTAAAGTTGTGCCCGTTAACAGCCACAATTTTAGCAAATGTACGAGCCACTACAGGAGCGCCCAAATTAATCCGACCAGAAACATTTCTACTCTTTATCTTTTTCCGCGGCCAATAGCTGGGCCAAGTACTGGTGGTTTAACAAAGATATTATTGCCGTGTATTGCACTGACAAGTTGTAAGATTGTCATCCATCTGTGTCTTCGATCGAACTTTTATGGTGCACTGGCCGCTATTGTTACTTCCGCCTTCATCCGAATAGAATGCCCGGTCATTATAGCAGTAGTATTGGGGGCCAGCTTTCAGTCTCGATAGAGCTATAATGACCGGGCATCCTATTGGGATGAACAGTCAAATTTGTGAAGCGAGTAGCAGAAGCTGCTGGATTGTTCCGAGCCCAGGGTCGAACCCAAACCCAAACCCAAAACCCGAACCGGAACCTGAACCTGAACCTGAACCCGAACCCGAACCTGAACCTGAACCGGAACCCGAACCCGAACCGGAACCGGAACCGGAACCGGAACCCGAACTTGAACCTGAACCCCAACCCGAAACTGAACCTGAACCCAAACCCGAAACTGAACCCGAACCTGAACCTGAACCCAAACCCGAAACTGAACCTGAACCTGAACCTGAACCTGGATCATTCCGAGCCCAGGGTTGAACCCAAACCCGAACCTGAACCCCGTCTTTTGCAGTGGAGGCGATGCCCATCTTCATATCTATGCAATATATATCCTATAGAAACTCTAGTCCGCCTCGACACAAGACTGGGCAGCAGCTGAGCAATCAACTTGGAATTTAGCCCCTGCACAGCCAGTCTGTGAGCAAACTACATGAAAAAGGGAGGAGAACAGGCCTCTATAACCAGGTGCTGCTCCAACCAGCCTCACATTTGCATTTGGCAGCCTGGTTGGAGCCCTGGTACCCTATGACAGCGGGATATATCTGTGCTATATCCTATAGAAACTCTAGTCCGCCTTTGTACTTTTAGGTCTATTGAGATGTGACATAGCTGGACAAGTAGGGGGAAGAGAGCTGCTCTGCCATCTCCTTCGACGACTCGTACACTTATGCGTATGCAGATTGGCATCATCGAGTCGTAGAAATGTGCACATCACTGCCTCTGCCTTTCATATTTCACCGCCCAGTACCTCCCCTCCCCGTGGATGTAATGTTCATACCTGCCTATTGACTAAACAGGCCAAGGGCTCAAAGTTTAAACCCTGACATACGCGACAGAAATTAGTGGCTACTCCCCTGCGAAGAAAAAAAAAAGACTGTCAGCAGTGTCAGGTTCAAAAAAAAGAAAAAGAAAAAAAGAAAAGCAGTGTCAGTTCCATACTTTGAAGATGTACCCAGACCTGCTGTTTGTACGAGGAGAGGAATCAGCCACTTAGACCAGGGTGTGTCATTCATTGCCAGGCGACATATGTACCCCCTGGAAAAATCATCGTTGAACACCCATCAGAAGATGGAGAGCTTAAAAAAAAAAAAGAAAAAGAAAAAGAAAAAAAAAAGATGGAGGAACTTTACCAGAACGATTGTAACAGTCTGTACGTTAAACTACCGGCACTTGGCCGAGCTATCGGCTGCGGTGAAAAAAAATAGAGAAGAAATGCTTCTAGTCGGATGGATTTGGACACTCCTGTAGTGGCCCGTACGTTTCCTAAAATAAAATTGTGGCTTGTTAACGGGCACAACTTTAGGAAGTACTACTGGTGGTTTAAAAACCACGATGAATTCTCATCGTGAAGATTCATTTCCCACTCGTACCCGTCGCCATTCGGCAACACCCCATCCATCCGTCAATGCGCGTTTCAAGTGTTGCAGGGGGATTCCATCACCATCAAGTTAGATCATGTAGCGGATTGCGAAAAAAAAAACAAAGGTAAAAAGGTCATACAAAGATCGACATGATGTGTAACCCACTCATCAATCGTGGAGCGGGGCTGAAGATATGGTGGGAAAGTAACCAAGTGGGATGAAACCCGTGCGTGGTGGTCCCACCTCTTTAGTGGGATGAATCTCATGCATGTTGGTCCCGCTCATCTGCCGGTAGAAGTTATTATCACGGAGAAGCCCTCGTTAACGAGGGGGAGACACTCTTGCTAGGGAAAGAGCATTCAGTAGAAAATGCTTATTATTTCATACCCCCCCCCCCCC